TTTTTATTTGTAATTAAATTACGAAAGAAAACTGTCAAGAATTTAAAAGGTGGTGCATTTACCTTGTTTACATGTATGTAATATGAGATTGACACAGCGCCTTCAATACACACAAGTAAATGAATCATAAGATTGGAATGCGATGACATTCTTTCGTTGCACAACTAAACATGTAGTTTATTATGTGTCGGTCTATAAATTTGTATCTCAATAAAAACCGGGTTTAATGGGAAAACGTCAACACCTAGTGATTACTGTCAACTTGTAATAAGCCAATCAAATTACATGTACCATAAGAATGAAAAATTATGTTAATTATCTGCTGTTCAAAATATTTAATTATCAAAATTTATCTTAATTATTTCTAGATAATATTTTTAATTCAAGATGTTTATGACAGGTGAGAGAGAGAGAGAGAAATGGGGTTTAACATCCACTTGACACAAACTAGGTCATTTCGGGACTAACATATAGTTTGATTTTATTTACATAATTCGCTTGCGCGTAGGGGTCTTTAGCAATGGGAGGAAACCGGAGGACCCGGAGAAAACCCACGAGGTTGGACAGACGACCCTACTCCTTGTCACGTACAACCAGGGATTCAAAACCACGCCAGTCGACTCAATGACAGACTTTATGATACAGCGCGTGCACGCTAACCATTCAGCCATCCAACCCCCCTTTATGAAAGGTAAAGGCGAAGCAAAACAGTTGAACAGAAGAAGACATGCTTAGTCACACTGATCTGCAGTGAATAGTCGCTAGGCCGTGACAATCACTGATAAGGTGGACATCGATGTGACTTAATGAGCCACAAATATTAACTTTTTTCCTCCGACAAATTAAATTCTAAAACATTTTTTTTATGTATTAGAAAAATAAAGATGTTTGAAGTATTTGTTGGTAACAATTATTTCCTATTTTGGTGTAAATGGGTATTAAAATGAGTAAAAGGCACCATTCTGCTCGAATCAGTAACGTCTTATAAAAACAATGCATGCGCCATTGAGCCAATGATTGACGCCGCGTGATATGATGTCATGTGTTGTAGGCAATCATCTTTTACAGAGATATTAGAAGACTTTCGTAATACTCTGTGAAACAGATTGATGCTTTGTAACAAATTTTGGTCAACACCCCTGCACCCCATTGGTCAACAACCTGTATGACATCATCTTATTCTTATAATTACATCTTAAAATAATACACAGATGACTTCTTGTTTGTTCTAATCCACAATTTACATACAACATGATGTTCTCCTTTTATATCAGGTGGGCTGTGTTGACAATGATCTCACCATCTTGTTAAATATGAATAATTTAATTGGTAGGTTTGTGATGGATGTTATCAGGGAGTACCACAGAAGGTCACAGAGTATAATTATGACCTGATTCTGTCTGGACAAGGACAAGTCAATAGAGAGAGAGAGAGTAGGTCATTTTGGGACTAACATATGGTTCAATTTTATTTCAATAATTCGTTTGCGTGTAGGGGTCTTTAGCAGTGGGAGGAACACGGAGGACGTGGAGAAGACCCACGAGGTTGGTCATGGGACCCTACTCCTTGTAACGTACAACCAAGGATTCAAAACCATGCCAGTTGACTCAATGGCAGACTTTATGATGCAGCGTGCACATGCTAACCATTCGGCCATCCACCCCCACCCCGCCCCAGAAAAGGAACAAAAGCATGTCTTATAATCACCTACATAAATATTCTCTGAGAGGATTACAGAAACTAATCAGTTGTAATTCCAAAAGGAACATTGCCCTATGTTTTAAAATATTATGTCTTTGGACAGCTGCGACGCAGATAATATACCCTATTTTGATATCCCACGTTCCATCTTTATAAGCCAAGTCAGAGCAAAACAGTAGGACTTTAAACCCTATTTCATTCCATTTTCATATCGCACGATGACCTTCACAGAGGTAACAGAACCAGGCCTTTCAACTTTAAATCAATGATAACACCCCACAAAAAATTACTCAGAGTAATTTCATGCTTCTAGATTAATAAGAGTGCATTAACATACTTGTACTTTAAATCTCTCTTAATGCATGCATTAAAAACTTCAAACAATCATTGAAATCTGTGAATGTTTTTACGATCTGAATGCCAATAAGAATTATGATTGAAGCAAATCCAATCCTGATAACCTTTGACCTTGATAATCTGGTCGTGGACCACCTGGGTCTGTTTAAATCTACTGTTAACAATAAGTGTTTTGTATTATTTTCCAGTGTGCACGATTCTTACAACCAGACCTACCACCAAGATATTCAATTCTATTCTCCCTACTTGAAAACAACAAAGTTTTACTTCTATAGAAAATATATTTAAAATATGTTTTTAAAGGGAATATGCCTTCTTGACATTTAAATGATATATTGTTACTGATATTCTAGAAATTAAACAATTTTGTACATGTGACCTTCGTTTTCATTGAGAAACCTCCCTGACAAATCCCAAGGTACTTTCTCTTTCAAAACCAGGGTTAGGTCTAAATATTACGGCCATCTGCAGATGACGTCAAACTCACGAGATGTAAACAGGGTTATAGTGCTAACACTAACCCACAATCTTCAGCAACAATCACATGCCCTAACCCTTTTACATCTAGTCACCTTGACGAAATCTGCAAGTGGCCTTAATATTTCGACCTGTCCCAACACCAGGATCAAACCACGCATTTCCTGGTTAGAGTGACCTTACCCCCCAAAAAAGGTTTCTTAGAGACTATAAAACTATAAACATCTTCAACATCAAAAGAATTGGAATGGGGTGTATATGGTAATTTGTGTTTCTATGATTACAAGGAAGGAAAATTTTGGCCAGGCAGTGGCATGTATGCTTACATACTCTGCACCGATTTCTAACGAGTTTTTTTGTGCGTTCCAAACAACTAGGCACATTTTACAAGTCAGATGCCACCTCCGATAAATGAAAACAACAGCTGAGGAACCTCCAGGGTAACACCTCGACACATATAACTTGTCAGCCACACAGGTGCCACCTTTCACTAGTGAAAACAACATCTAATGAACCTTCGGATATACAAGTGAAAACAACATCTAATGAACCTTCGGGTGTACAAGTGAAAACAACATCTAACGAAACCTCCAGTTCTACAAGTGAAAACAACATCTAATGAACCTTCTGGTGTACACAAGTGAAAACAACACCTGAGAAACCTCCAGGGTTTTTCTTACAAACCCAACAACTAAGCAGATGTGACTTGTCAACCTCATTGGCGCTACCTCTTGACAAGTGAAAATAACATCTGATAAAACTTCTGTTTTTTTTTAAGTTCCAAACAACTATATAGGCGTATGTTTGTCAACCTGACAGGTGGCCCCCTTGACAAGTGAAAACAACATCTAGTATTTGTTTAATGTACTTGCCCATTACATGATTTGACATTTTATAAAAAAAAACATTTAATTTTAAGTAAAGAAGAGAATGAGTCTATGTACGTGTCCCACCCTTCTCATATAACACTTGACTAGATTTAAACTAAATATATTTCTTTGACGTTCTCCAGGTTCATGGTATTATCAAAATAATTCAGTTACTTCAATGACATCTCTTCAAAGAATTTAAAATACAGATGTGATGTCATCCTTTGATGTTGGTGTATCATTATTTCAAATATTGGTAGGAGCAATGTGCCAAGCGTACATTATTTATACTAGTTGCAATATTGGACGCATGTGACGTATTTAATTTAAATGCACGTGCTGGATATTGTCTGTAATTTAAGTTGTTTAATTAATGGTCTTGTGCAAGATATTGCGTAATATACAGATATTGCAGTTGTACAATATCAGTATATTACATAATGTCTCGCACTCGACCATTAAACAATACATAATGTACATGTTCAAGCCTCCCAACTATACATTTACAAAAATACATAAGCTTTGAAAATGAAATGTAATGGGATTTCAATTCCCTACTTTCCTGCACCAACCAACTAATGAGAGAGAGAGAGAGAGAGAGAGAGAGAGAGAGAGAGAGAGTTTGTCCACTTGACACAAACTAAGTTTTTCGGGACTAACATATGGTTCAATTTTATTTCAATAATTCGCTTGTGCATAAGGGTCTTTAGCAGTGGTAGGAAACCGGAGGACCCGGAGAAAACCAGGGAATCAAAACCATGCCAGTTGACTCAATGACAGACCTTATGATACAACGCGCGCACACTAACCATTTAGACCAGGAACAGGTACGCTCGTTATCTGGTCCATGTAATACTTTCATACTTGTTTTTATCGCATTTCCAAAGTCAATCATATCATTTAATTAAATATATCACCGTCTCTAAGAGAGAGGAGAATGTTCAGACATTGTTTGGAAATTCTTCACATGAATCAATTCAGCCGTTAATCGTATTGTAAACATGATCATTGTACAGATAAAACTTCAAAGTTCCTCAATATCCCCACAAATTACCCTAAAATAGAATATCTGTGTTGATCATGTACCTACATGTATATTGATAAGACTTGACTATCAAGTATTAGTCATGATCTTCCAGACCTTCACCTTGATCTGATATATACATTTGTTGATTGCAGTGTTTGTGTATATTTAGTTTCCTGTCCTTAGGTTTGTCTTGTGTAATTGTTTTGTTTTTGTTTGTTTTGTTGTTTTGTTTTTTTTTTGGGGGGGGGGGGCCTAAAAATGAAAAATGAAATGAAATGGGGGTTTAACATCTTACTGTTTTGCTCTGACTGGGCTAATGAAGACAGGCATACACCATACAGTGTGCAGTGAGGGAAATTTTGCCCAGGTAGCAAGGGATCTTTTACATGCACATCCATCTGTACACAGGGTCTCGTTTTTTTTTCCTATCCAAAAGACTAGACAAGTGTCCTTGTCAGGCCCCCCGTCCTACACCTTTGACAAGGGGAAACCACATTGGAAAATCCCAATGAAATTTCTCGGGGGTGTGGTGCTACTACACTTACTAATATTATTATAATAGTACTTACTCGGCTATAGCACGTTGTGTTAAATCTTCTAAATCTGCTGGATCAAATAACTGAGTTTCCGATAAACCAAACTCGCTTTTACACGCCTTTAAAAACACATTCAAATTATCCTGAAATTAAAGAGAAACAACTCAATAAGCACTGACTTTAATATTATAAATGGTCATTGTCCACTATATTAACGGTGGGAGGATGCCAGGAAAGTGATTGGCTCCACCCCCTTCTGAAAGTGATTGGCTCCTCCCCCTTCTGTCATAAAACATGAAATACAGAGTTAAAGCCAAATGATTTGAAGTGGAATTCTGGCATTCATTTTATTTTCACCAGAAAATCTGATCTGAGACCACAAGCAATACAAATTCAGGCTTCAACTCGGAGAGGGGCAGGAGAGAGAGAATGGTTTTGAAAGCAGATTTTGACGGTAAAAATTCATTGCAGATCAGATGTTACAGTCCTTAGAGTGGTATACAGTTTTGTGTAAACTTAAAACGAAACGAAACAAGTCCACTCAACATGAACTGGGTCATTTCAGTACTAACATATTAGCAGTGGGAGGAAAGCAGAGGACCCAGAGAAAACTCATGAGGCTGGACAGACTTGTTGCTCACAAGCTGGGAATCAAGACCACACAACTTGCCTCAATGACAGACCTTATGTTCTATAGTGCATGTGTTAGACCATTTGCCCACCTCGCCCCAGAATAAAACCAAGTACTACTTTCATATCCAAGGACTGTTTATATGCAATCTAGCTTTAACTAGACCCAAGGACTGTATATATATATATACAATCTAGCTTTAACTAGATCCACGGACTGTATATATATACAATCTAGCTTTAACTAGATCCAAGGACTGTATATATATACAATCTAGCTTTAACTAGATCCAAGGACTGTATATATATACAATCTAGCTTTAACTGATCTAAGGACTGTATTTAATCTAGCTTTAACTACATCTAAGGACTGTATTTAGTCTAGCTTTACCTACAGTATATTTGGGTGATCTTGTGCACTAAAAGTAAGATTATATCCATAGATGGGTATCAGGATATGTTTACATAAAATATGTCATCATAAAATATGTAAGAACTTTCCCAGGGTAAATATTTATAACCTAAGCAAACAACCGCCAAGATATAAATATTTAATCAAACTCAACATGTCGACAGAAATAAATTATTTTTTGTTATTGCATGACTATTCTAGAATCAGCTTTATTGAAGTTATTTGATTTTTTCAGAGACACCTGGTTTTTACGGTTAAACCCATTTATTCTGTCATGAAGAGGGAGGAGAATTCTTGACCCGTTTTGAAATGAATTGGTTAGAATTGGTATACTAGAGGTTAGTATCAACTAAATAGTGTCAATAAGCTTCAATTTCCTTTAAAATATAAACTTGTGCGCATTGTATCAGAAGATCTGTCATTGGTTTCAATTCTCCACTTGTACGTGACAAGGAGTAGGGTCGCCTGTCCAACCTCGTGGGTTTTTCTCCGGGTACTCCAGTTTCCTCCCACTGCTAAACACCACTATGGCAAGCAAAATATTGAAATAAAATTGAACCATATGTAAATCTCAAAATGACATAGTTTTGTGTCAAGTGGACATTAAACCCCATATCTCTCTCTAAAAATATTAACAGGTTTCAACAATAATATCGCTTGATAACCAGTTATGCAGTGTATCTGTATGTAGATGCCTTTCATCAAAGATTTTACCTTCTCTTCCACAAATTGCAACTGTCAAGGGATCATTCATATGTGATGTATTTATACATATGTACAGAAAATTACTAAAGTTCCTGTTTCTCAACAACACATGATGGTTAAAACTCATAGCAAATACATTCTACTGGATTATAAACACAAGATTAACTTTCAGTTCACTAGATAATCCAAGCTATAGAAATATGGATCAAGTCGTCTTTTATTCAGACATTTCTGTCTGAGAAAGGTGTTATTAGGAGACATCTGATCCTGGTACAACAATATCAAATAAATTTAAGGTTCGGACTCAATAGGTAATTTAGTTTAAACGTAATGAGAAACCCAAGTTATTCCTTATTTTCATGAAAGGAAATATAATAACGATCAAGCTCTTTGCACTGTCATGGCAATTAATTATGATGGATTGACAAATTATGTGTTATAGCTTCTTTATTATTAAAGTTTTAGTTTTATAACTATAGTATTTAATTCAGGATATCGCAATTGGATTGGTAACAATGTACAACCATGCTAGGTTATTGTGTTGAAGGTTGATGCCATCATGTTGTGTAGGTTGATGCTATTGTATTGTGGGTTGATGCTATTGTATTGTTGGATGATGTTATCGGGTTGCAGAGTGATACTATTGTGTTGTGGGTCGATGCTATTGAGTTGTTGGTTAATGACATTGTGTTGTTGGTTGATGACATTGTGTTGTTGGTTGATGACATTGTGTTGTTGGTCGATATTAGCGTGTTGTAGGTTGATATTGTTATTTTGATGGTTGATATTATCATGATGTAGGTTGATATTGTTGTGTTGTTGGTTGATATTATTGTGATGTATGCAATGTTGATAATATTGTATTGTTGGTTGATATTATGGTGTCGTAGGTTGATGACATTGTATTGTTGGTGGATATTATCGTGTTGTAGATTGATAATGTTGTATGGTTGGTTGATATTATCGTGTTGTTGGTTGATAATATTGTGTTGCTGTGTTGGTTGATACCATTGTGTTGCTGTGTTGGGGAAGTTGGCTAACTATCCTCCTGTCCTCTCCTTCTGTCTAAAATTAAATGTGAGCATATCAGGAAACACCAAATAGAAGATTTTGATCAAAGTCTTTGGGGGGGGGGGGTCGGGTCTCCAATTAACCTGAATATAAAGTAACAATAACTGAAAGACCTTGAGATGAAATAATGGAGCTGAAGAGTTCTGAGATAAAATCTGAATACATTTACCATCTGATACATACGGTACATAATAAATGTGACTATATAAAACCACAGTCCCAATACACATGTGATATAAGGGGCTAATTACTATCACTGTCTCTTATTTCAAATGATTTTATCTCGAATGACATGTGGCGTCTGTCTGCTGGGTTATCTAATATAAACCACCAGGTATTTCTTTACCTGGATTATTAAGATAAATTTGTCGCCAATTTTAACGAGGAAATATAAAGTTGTAGAACCTGAATAAACTTGGTTTGACTGATGGAAGCAGAAATTGATACTAATTTTTTTTACGACTTATAATTTTTTTTTTACGAATTATACTTTTTTTTATGAATTATAAATAAGGGGAAGAAAATATTGAAACTATTTTTTTTTTATGAATTATAAATACGGGGAAGAATAAATTGATACTATTTTTATATATATTATGAATAAGGGTTTAATGGTTCAATACACAAACTTGATTCCTAGCTTTCAGAATTCCACTTACATGTATGATGTAATAAAAACCAGAATTGGTAATAAAACCAAATCTCTAAAATTCTTCATCATTGAGGTTTCGGACAAAGGGATAGTAACACTGTAAAAATCCGCGTGCATCTCTGAATTTCAATAGGGTTCTTGCCAAGAACTAGCCCAAGAATCCAAGAAAATTTGAAAATTTAATCCCAAATAAGGAGTTTAACAGATTGACAAATAGGGATGGTAATAATTTATACTCCTACAAAAAATTGAGGATACATGTATTTAAATTGACATCTATTACAGCCTTCACAGGACTGCGGTGAGTTTTGTCTACAAAATCTTCAGTTTATATATAAGTAAATCTGTAATGTTCTCTCTGTATTCATACCACATGTTCATGTAAAAAATATAATCGACACCTTAAGTACTTACTGAGGAAATCAACCAAGTTTTTAACACAAAAAATGGGAACAAATTGTCATTGTGCTTAATAAACAGTTTCCACTAAGGTTAAAGTTTAATATCAAAGGGAAAATTTGTCTAGACTTTACTTTTTATTTTAGATGAAATGGGAAAAGTATCTGATTTATTCATTTTAATTCTTGGTTGTGGTTTATATAACAAATGTATTGTAAGATATATTTACGGTAGTATTTTGTTTTTTTATACTTTCGATGGCCTACACTACATATAGATCTGACAAGTTGTACTGGAAGGTTGTGTCAGGGGTCATTAGAGCGGTTTTTGACCCTATGATGTCAGACAATGATTAATCAATCAGCGTTAGCGTTTCTAGTGGTTTACCAACAGTTCCGTGCATGGCATGCCAAGAAGTCGCTGTAATGGACTGTTTCATTGGCTTATCCCTCACTTCAACCAAAACGCCGATAATATAACAACTCTTCCAGATCCTAGTGTAGTAAAGACAAGTAATGACAACAAAAAAAACGAAACGAAATAGGATCTGTGTTTTAATCAGATTGACTTGTTATTTCATAAAATAGTTATTTCATTCAGGGCATCATTTTAAAAATTATAACTGTTTTTAGGGACGTCTTATAGGATTCAGGAACACCTTATTGAAAGGGCAGGTCTGCTTTAATTTGATACTAAAGGTTTCAGTGTTGCTGTACCGCACCTTTGGAATCAGTTGCCAGTTTTATAACCATTAGAGAATCTCAAACTTTCACAAAAAGTCATGGCTAAAAATTCATTTGTTTAAACTCTCTTATCCAGATTAAAGAGAGAAAGAGAAATGGGGTTTAACGTCCACTCGACACAAACTAGGTCATTTCGGAACTAACATATGGTTTAATTTTATTTCTATAATTCGCTTGCGCGTACATGTAGGGGTCTTTAGCGGTGGGGGGAAACCGGAGGACCCGGAGAAAACCCAAGAGGTTGAACGGGTGACCGTACTCCTTGTCACGTACAACCGGGCAATCGAAACCCCGCCAGTTGACTATCCAGATTAGAAACAGATAGTCTCCCTTAATGTAGTGCTTTGACCATGTTTAAATGGATGGATTATTGAGCGCATTATATATAATGTATTATTATTATTATTGAATGAAATAAACATGTTTTCTTGATACAACGACTGGATTCGTCTCATTAAAACAGACGTACAAACATTGAGAATGAAAACTAAACAGAAGAGACAGGGAGGAAACTGAAGAACCAGGAGAAAT